GAAATGGTATTTATTATTAGACTGCTCATGTTGTTCGGAAGTGTGATTTTGCCTCAACTACATGAGTAAAAATCTAGTAAGTTTGTGTGATCAATATCCTAAAACACCATGTAATTTGGTGAGGCATGTTCTTTTGAAATGAATGTGGTAAAAGAATTAAAGAGATGTTTAAAAGATTGCAGTGTGATCCTATATGTTCTTCTCTAATTGTACGTCTATCTTATTCTAACACAATTGTTAAACCTTATTATATTTTATCTTTAAGTTATTTGATACATAATTTTCTATATTTTGTGGGGCTATATAATTATTTATAATTTCATTTTAGTTTTGTGGTTTTATTGATTTTTGTTGCATGACCATTTGCTAAAAATGTTGATTTTTCATTTTAGTTTTGTGGTTTTATTGATTTTTGTTGCATGATCATTTGCTAAAGGGGTGAACCAATATGAGGTTTTTGAAATTACTGTGATTTCAATATTTTGTTTTAATATGTGCTGTTCTTTATTTCATATTATGGATTATAAGTTGCAAATCAATTACATCCAAAGTTGGTTGTATGGCTATGTTTTTCTTTTACTAATAAAAGCAAAATGAAATGATATTTATTATTAGGTTGCTCAAGTTATTAGGAAGCATTATTTGGCCCCAACTACATGGGTATAAAGCTAGTAAGTTGTATGATCAAGATACTAAAACCCAATGTAATGTGGTGATACATGTTCTTGGAAATGAGTGTGGTAAAAGAATTAAGAGATGTTTAGAAAATTACAGTGTGTGGAAATGAGTGTGGTAAAAGAATTAAGAGATGTTTAGAAAATTGCAGTGTGATCCTATAGGCTCTTCTTCAATTGTATATGTATCTTATTCTAATACAATTGTTAAACCTTATTATACTTCATCTATAGTTATTTGATATATAACTAGGTGTGAGACCCATGTATTACATGGGTTTAAATAAAAGGAAAACTAAATACAAAATTCTAAGATTGAATTTATAAGAAAAGTTGAAAAATATTGAATTACAAAAATTAAAATGTTTTTTTTTTAATTTTAAACAAATAATTTAGATAAATAATAAAAAAAAATTAATGAATCTTTAATTTAGTAATTTTGAAATTAGAAGGAAAGTTCATTAATGAAATTGATATGCATTTATTATTGCATTTAAATACTATTTGGAATTTAATAAAATGAAAAAAACCTATAAAATGACATGTGGAATAAAAATTAATTTAAAACAACCACAAAATTACACGTGACAAAATAAATGAGAATGTGACAAGTGGCAAAAATATCTTTATTTATTAGGGAGGGTTTTCTATATTTCGAAGGGCCTCATAATTTCTTTTGCCTTCATATTAACTTAGATCAAGCCTGATTTCATTATACACACTTTTCCCATGCTTTTATTTTAGAAAAAACATCATAAATGGTCCTTGTGGTTACCCAAAATCTGAAGTTTAGTCCCCGTGGTTTAAAAACTTCATAGATGGTCCCTGTGTTTTCAAAACTTTTAACGATTAGTCCTTATTGCTAACTCCGTTAAGTTTTGTCCGTTAACTGAAGGGTATTTTCGTCATTTCACTACCATAGGGACCATTTATGATGTTTTTTCTTATTTTAAAAAAAAGTTAAATATAATTATTTAATCTCTCTCTCTCTCTCTCTCTCTCTCTCTCTCTCTCGTTTACCATAGAAACAACCATATTAAAGTTCATCCTTAGCTTTTGATTTTCGAGTTCACATCATAAATTCTTCATCTTTTTCTTCTTGTTTCTTTCTATTATACTTCATCCTCCTGATCTATATTTATAACATGTCAAACAATTTAGACTTGAGCTCCACTTCCCCGTTCTCCCTACAAACCCTGCAACAATGCCCTTACCTCCATCTCCAAATCTCTCATGATTCTGAATACGACAACAACCAACACATTGTTAGCTCTGGTAGCAGAATTTGAGATACTGTAGGGTGCTGACCACATGGTTGCCCTCCTGGTTAAAAAAGCCAAGACCAACCGTCATTATCACCGTTATTGGGTCGATTAGAGAGAGTATCAAAAAGGAACCGTTGAGGGTGCACTTCATGTTTTCGAAGGAATTGACATTCCTGATGTGTATCTCAAATCAGAGTCGTTACAAGCCCTAAGACGATTGTGACACTCTTCGAAGCTATTTTTCTCAAATCAGAGTCGTTACAAGTCCTAAGATGATTAAGAGAAGCTGCCGAATCTTGCACAATCATACTGGAAACAATCGAATCTACATTACCCAATGAAATTCTTGATTATTCTTAATCTCATAAGCTTCAAGAAATTGTGGATAAAGCGGTTGAGTTGTTACCCGATCTTTGGAAACTAGCTTCAGATCCACAATCGGTCATTTTATCATACAGTCGAGCGTTGCTTTTCCAATGGATTCTTGATAAAAAGACCCATCGAGCGTTGTATTGTTGCACGCATTCACGAAAGGCATCAACGTGTGAACTAATTGTATCCCAACCTTTGATTTGTGGGTTTGTTTTTAGATGCCAAACTTTTGATTTACTTGTAGGTTTTCTAAGGGTTTTGGAACAAGAAACCTAAATCTTTGATTTTGTTGAGGTTCTATAATGGTGTTTTGAATAGGGAAGAAGGCTTCATCTTCATCAGTTTTTGAACAGGGATGAAAGTTCCCTAGTCACACCAGAAATCCATGTGTGTGTCTTTTACTTCTGCCCCTCATCTCACCTCTCCAACCTCCTCTTGCCTCCTACCTGTTCTTCTTCACCATCGTCATCTCCCAATGAACTCGTCCCCAAATAAAAATTAAAACTTGTAATCAACTCCAAACCAAAATCAAGAACAACCAATAAATCAATTCCCCCATCGAAATTAGAGGAATGGAGAAGTATAGAGGGATAGCAGGTGGGTGAATCAACTTTTGGATGAACAAGAATGGTGAAAAGATGGTGGAGCTCAATGGAGCTGTTGGGTTGATTTTTCCAGCATTTTGTTTTCCGTTTCTATATGTGTTTTTAGAGAGAGAGAGAGAGAGAGAGAGAGAGAGAGAGACTTTTTATATATAAAATTTTTATATTCAATTTTTTTCTTTTTAATAAAAAAATAAGAGAATACATCATAAATGGTCCCTGTGGTAGTGAAATGACGTAAATGCCCTTCAGTTAATGCACAAAATAAACGGAGTTAGCAATAAGGACCAGTCGTTAAAAGTTTTGAAAACACAGGGACCATCTATGAGGTTTTTAAACCACGGGGACTAAACTTCAAATTTTGGATAACTACAGGGACCATTTATGATGTTTTTTCTTTATTTTATTGCAAGTTTGCTCACTATGTTGTATAGGTTTCAATATATCATTTTCGATAAACATTAAAAAAACCCAAAAAACAAAAGTAAATTAGAAAAATAAAAAGATGGGCAAAATGATATTTTATATGCACTTAACAATCTTTAATTAACAATGATAGTCAAAGGACCGTACATATAAAATTGAACCACGATGATTATTCATTTCACGAAATATAAAGTTAGACTAAAGTTGTAATTTTTACTATATCAAAATCATTATTTTTGTAATTTATTTTGAATTAAACTATATAAGACTAATGGGCCAAGGACGAACAATCCGAATTAAATCCGAAAAAAACTAGAACAGATCCATAAATGGAGCCTAACCGCAAGTCAGCTTATAAAATTTACTTTGCAAACAACTTATATGATGACTAATTATAATACCAAATCAGCTAATACAAATATTTTTTATCTTAAACTACTAAACTAAACACTATTAAAGGAAAAAACTAGATCCTTTGTTGAAACCAATATGAAATATAAAGGGAAAATGATTTAGGAGGGTAACTACCTCTTATCCGTGTTCACATATTGGCAACTTCTTTTTTTTTTGTACATAAAAAAGCAACTAACTTGTTTTAACTGTTTAAATTACACCAATATTACCGGCTAATACCTGTTTTAACCGGTAACTCAAAGGGAAAATGACTTAGGAGGGTAACTACCTCTTATCCGTGTTCACATATTGACAACTTCTTCTTTTTTGTACATAAGAAATCAACTAACTTGTTTTAACTGTGTAACATCCAAAATATCATGACCAAAAATTTCGTTATTAATTTAATACTAAAACCATAATTGTCAAACCATTAATTTAATACTCCGGCATCGGGCCCCGCCCGGCATCAGGCCCCACCCGGCATCAGGTCCTGCCTGGCATTGATCCCCGCTCAGTATACAGATCTGTCTCTCTTAGGCCCCGCCTGTCTCCGGGCCCCGCCCGCTAAACACATACAATCATATAACAGGATAACACATAAAGAAACATATTGTATTGTATCCCTGTCCTAAGAAACATACAATCATACCTAGGGCTAACCCCCGGGTCTTCCTACTCATATACTACATGGGCTGGCATTGTGGCCTTAGACCCATTCACACAGTCAGGAAACTCACCTTGCACTGCTGAAGCCCTGGCTCGAACTAGCTGAATACGGACGAGGTTCTGTATCTCATTATTAGCAGAGTATGTTTCTTAGGACAATGATACAGTAGAATATGTTTCTTTATGTGTTAACATGTCATATGATTGTATGTGTTTAGCGGGCGGGACCCGGAGACAGGCGGGGCCTGATGCCGGAGTATTAAATTAATGGTTTGACAATTATGGTTTTAGTATTAAATTAAAAACGAATTTTTTGGTCATGATTTTTGGGATGTTACACAGTTAAAACAAGTTAGTTGCTTTCTTATGTACAAAAAAGAAGAAGTTGCCAATATGTGAACACGGATAAGAGGTAGTTACCCTCCTAAGTCATTTTCCGTTTGAGTTACCGGTTAAAACATGTATTAGCCGGTAATATTGGTGTAATTTAAACAGTTAAAACAAGTTAGTTGTTTTTTTATGTACAAAAAAGAAAAAGTTGTCAATATATGAATACAGATAAGAGGTAGTTACAAGTCATTTTCTCAAATATCAAATAGTCAGTGATGATTATTAAAGAGTGCAAAATGAGGTGAATCGACGGAAAAGAAATAGCCGTCGGCCTTACAGTTCTTCCAACCGCCGATCATTTTTCCACCACGACTTTTTAAAGAAACATCCACTTGTAAGCCATGGCAATAAACCTTCAAGTCCCTCCATCTTCTAGCCCACCAAGCGTTAAGTCGATACGTAACCATCATCCTAAAATCGAAATTTATCACAACATGACCACTCTTACTCTCACCATCGAAGCTATCTTCATCATCGATATACTCTATGAAAGAAGAAAATGTGGCCCTAACCGCAGTCTTTTTCTTGGGTCCCTGAACGAAACTCCGCACACTAGTGTTTGAAATTAAAAGCCAATCGTCCCATACAGCAGCTTGGATTTTATGATAGTGAAGAGTAGTTTTCGAATTTGAGTTGCGAAGGATGAAATCGGCATCCAAATCGCCGGAAATTAGATTGCCTAGTTCTGGTGGATAATGGAAGTTGGATATGGTTAGCGTTTGGAGACGGAATTGGGGATTACTGATGAAGACGAGCGAAATCTGCCTTCGGAAGAGGATTAAGATGCAGATCAAGACGATAGAACCGAAGAGAAAGTAGGTGACGCGTTGTTTGAACTGATAAGAACAGTGCGTGGCTTGATTCTGTGGAGCATTTGAAGGAGCGGAAACAGGGTGTACGGTGGCTGAGTTTCGGTTGCCGGCGGCAGAGGGAGGTGGATCCGCCATTGAACTTGTGTGTAGGATTGATGATTGGTAAGTGGTTATAGGATGAAATCAATTACAATGTAATCTGTTTGGAATCCGAATATCTTCAATTACGAGTTTCACTGAAGAGCAAAGCAATTGAAAATCTGGTAATTTCTTTTTAAGGTTTGTGTGGTTTGTTTTAGAAATAATCAACGTCAAACATTTAACTTTTATATTTCTATTTAACTCCTAAAATCCGAGCTCCATTACATAATTTTCTTTTGTTTTTTCATTTTCTTTAGAAGCTTACAACATCTTCTCAATCTCACCAAAATGAAACACAATATTATGAGCTTTTTAAACAAATGAATATTCTTCATGTGTCTGTGAGTGTCAACACTGTTAACATTATGGTCAAGTGGCCATGTCTTCATTCTTGATCGAAACACTGAAAAGCTGAGCTCATGGTGACACACGTATGTATTCGATATTCAATTCAAATGGGTCATAAGTGCATATTAGTTTTGTTAATCAATTATACTTTGGAAAAGTTTCTTGTATGATTAACTTTTCTTCATACTCTATATACTTGGTTTTTGTTGCATAGAATTGGTTATGGGAAAATATGGAAATATTCTATCATCATCCAATCCATCATTTGATTTCATAGTGGGATATAACTATATAAGTTACAAACTTGTTTATTCTATGGTGATGCAATTTGGTCACAACTTGGGAGACATTACTCCTTTATTTTGGTAGTTGATACTATGCTTCTTTGATACATTATTTTTTGAGTAAATTACACAAATTGTCCCTATGGTTTATGATAATTTGCATGTTTGGTCCTAACTTATTTTTTTAACTCGGACGGTCTCTACTGTTTGTTTTTGTTACGCGTTTGGTCCTTGTTTTGACCTAAAAAGACTATTTTTCCCTTGATTTTTTAATTTATTTAAATAAACACATCCTAACCCTACATCACCTTACCTTACCCACCTCATTTATTTTACCCTATTTAAATAATAGTCTTTTTATGTAAGATAGAGACCAAGCGCGTAACAAAAAAAAATAGTAGGGACCAAGCACGTAACAAAAACAAACAGTATGGACATTCCGAGTTAAAGAAAAGTTTGGGACCAAACGCGTGAATTACCACAAACTATAGCGACCATTCGTGTAATTTACTATTATTATTTTGATGAGCTGGTACATGTTTGATGAATTTGGAGGTTATTATCGTTGATTTTGGGTTTAGAATTCAAATTAAATTCATGTAGATAATGTATTGATTTAAATTCACTCGCTTAATAGCTTGAGAATTTTAGAAACCATTTGTTGATGTTTTTATCATGATATTTTCCGGGAGAATATTGACATATTATCATATTTAACATTTACCAAATGTTATGCTACTGTTTTTAACGTCTTTTCAAAGAAACAATGTGAGTAGTAGGGATCCATTTGGAAATGGGTCGTCGTATCTCCATTTTGGGTAAGCGTTTGTAAAATGAATATGTTTATCGTAATTATTTGTTATTTAGGATTGTAACTTATAGCGAAACCGTTTTGATGAAAATGATAATGAACCTGGAATGCATGGAACACATTGCGTCAGTTGTAACAGACAGTAAAAATCGTTTAGTAGGTTTATGAGATTGTGAAGCTTTGTGGTTGATCAATTAGATATCGTTATATTTAGTTTTTATTATGCATTATTATGAGATTTTGAGCCATGGAAGTTTGATGTCTTTAAGTAGTTATGCTATATCCGATGGTTATGAAATTGATTTATTTTGTTTCCTTCAAGTGACATTTTTCATCTTTTATTTCATACCATAGTGGAATAACTTCAGAGTACATTGCCCATTTTATTGATTTTAGTAAAGTAATTGGAACTTCACTTAAAATGTAAATAGAAAATTTTAGAATATAATTAATTTTGGTTCGGCAAATATGATTTTGTTTTTTTAATTTTTTTATAACTTTCTAGAGCCACAATAAGCACAATTTAATATATATATAATATATATATATATATATATATATATATATATATATATATATATATATAATAAGGCAAGTTGTTGCAATAATAGTGCTTTTTTATGTGCATTATACTTGTTTATGACGTAATAAAATAATAATAAAAATAAGCGTCAAAAATAAACTAATAGATAGACCCAATATCTGTGAAGAAATTTAAAGTATTCGTAATAATGATTACAGAGATATAAGGAACGCTGAAATCTGATTTATAACGAAAAGTTATGACCTGTCGAAGTTTCGCGACAAAACCGGCATGATGCTGTGTGATGTAAAAAGTGAGTTTACGATAAATTGTTTTTTATCCTTAGCGATCTAAACGAAAGTCGTAGTATATGTTAAACCGAGAACGTACAAAAAAAGAACGTCCAAATCTAACTTCGTATGAGGAAGTTATGATTTTTTTAAGATTTAGCATGGCAGTGCACAACCCGAAATTCGAATTTTAGATCGATCGATTTTTACCCAACGCAACCTAAATGAGAATTGAAGATCTCATTAATAGGAGTTTAATGATAAAAAAAAAACACAGTCGAAAACGGAGCTCGTATGCGAAAGATATGGACGAAACTTAGTCCCTAATCTTCGAGCGCGACGAATTCGATATAGATTTGTAAATCCGAGATAGAATGAGAATTAATCGATGCAGTCTAAATGAAAGTTGTAGTACTCGTAAATACAAACACGTGGATATAAAGAACGTCGAGAATAGAGCTCGTATGTTAAAGATATGGACCAAACTTAGTCCTTACTCTTCGAACGCGATAAATACGATACAGTTTTGTAAATCTGAGATAGAACGAAAATTAGCCGACAGGGTCTAAAGAAAGTTGTAGTACTCGTAAATACCAACGAGTAGATATAAAAAACGTAGAAAACAGATCTCGTATGCGGAAGATACGGACGAAACTTAGGGCCTACTCTATTATAAAACCCCTATAAATATAGGATGAATCCTTCATATTTTCTTCACACCATAAGCATTTCTTTCTCTCTCTAACTTCTCTCTAGCCTCCCTAAACCCCTCACAAGTCTAGGGAACTTCCCTAGCACTAGAAGTAAGCCCCAGAGCGCCCTAAGGCTTCGAGAAAAAGAGCTTTTCGGCTCAGAAGCTCTGCTCCAGCGGAGCCCGGTTTTTAAGAAAAACTCGCTGTAAGTGAGATACGCCTACCCTACTTTAAATGTAGCTTTTATTTAAATATAGTATTGTTATTAGGAACTTATAATAAATATTTAGGCTATTATTATGATTTATATAAGTGTCGTTATAATATCTTTTTAACTACTCACGGTACGGGGAATCCGGTTTGAAGGGTCGCCTGTGTTGTTGGATTTCAGAAGTGCTATAATGCCAAAATGGTCCTGCCCTCTGGTGTTTCATGTTTGGCCCTTGTCTGTACATAGCGGTTGAGAAGTATTGTTTAAACGTTTATATAATAATAATAATAATAATAATACTGAGACCATTAATTAGTCACGATGAACATTAGACTAAAATCTAGTGGTAATAATACTAGGTTTCATCAAAGGAAATTATTTGTAAGAAGCGAATCGATGTCTGAGTTCGGAGTCACCACCTTTACAGGTAAGTTCACAGTTACTTTCATCTTACACATAGATATGAAGTATTTAATATAAATTATGTGCTATGTGTGCATATTATCTGTGTTCTTGATATCTATGCTGGATGAACGATTTTATACATGTTTTAATTGATTTAAACTATATACGTATTTTATACCTATAAATTACAATGGGTAAAGATGGGTAGATGAAATATGAGTTCGATGATGAGATGGAAGGTGATATATACCATGAGATAAGGGTGAGAGATGAACAATGAGAGAAGCCTTTTACCCAAGCGTTGGCCACGTCATCTAGCAGAGTATGGATGACAACCACAGACTATTCTAGATAGTCCAGTGGAACACTAGCAGGCTCGCAACCTGTAGGTGTTGTGAACGATGTGTTCACCCGGTGTACTCTAAAAACCCATTAACATGTATTGCGACTGGACTCTCGAAAATAATACTGTCAATAAACGATATAAACCCTGGCGACTATGGACTTACTGCCTGCTGTATAAACCCTGGCGACTATGGACTTAGTGCCTACTGTATAAACCCTGGCGACTACGGACTTAGTGTCTATTGTATAAACCCTGGCGACTATGGACTTAGTGTCTGTTGTATAAACCCTGGCGACGATGGACTTCGTGCCTATTCCTTAGGATAATCCTTAGGAATGTATGAACGAGGAATAACTGATTCTTAGGGTAGATCCTGAAAAGTAAAAAGATAATGGGGATGGGTAATTGGGTTGACTGTTTGATGTTTAAACATAATTACTATATTATTGTGGGTTGAAAACCCTATGTACTTAACAAGTTTCCCAACCTGACCCACTCAAGTTTATTTGTATCACAGGTGTCGATATGAAGCTACTTTACACTGAGAGATTTAAAAGAGATGTAGATTACTAGTGCAATGGAGTTCAACGACATATACATGAACGCGATAAAAAATCCCCAAAGCGGTGTAACAGAGGTGGATGTCATGGCTAAGGTGCGAAAGATTTACAAGGCCAAAGTCGGAAAACCTTTTGTCAATGAATCCTTTTGGGAACTTGTGAAGGGCAATAAAAAATGGCTAAATCTAAAAAGTCCAGACGATTACGTGGGGATGTCCAAACGAAGCAAAACTTCGGAGTCCACCCACAGTCAATCTTCTGATGCACATATCGGGGGGATTGACCTCAACAACGATTGTCCTTATGAAGTTCCAACTCGTCCTCTGGGACGAGACAAAGCAAAAAGAAAGTTGAAAGGAGTACAAAATTCGTCGACTGAGCGGAGGAGATAATAAACACAATGAAAGGGTTAGACGATAAGCTTGAGGGTTTTTTGGAAGTGGAAAAGTTAAGAGAAATAAACCGTGCTAGAAAGGTAAAAAAATCATGCGTTAGAACTTTACTTAAAACCCATGGGAGATTAATTGTCCGAGGAGGAACGTCGGGTTATTAACAAAGCCAAGCGGAATCTCGCTAAAGAATACACCTGGGATTAGTTGTAGTTTTTTTTAGTCGTGTGTTTCGTCTACTATTATTAATTCGTAGTTTTTTTAAGTCGAATGTTCCGTCTACTATTATTAAGTCGTAGTTTTTTAAGTCGTATGTTTCGTCGACTATTAATGTAATCTTTTTTAATGTTATCTTTTTTATTTAAATTTTAAGTGTTTGTAACATTTTTTATTTAATATATATATATATATATTATATATATATATATATATATATAAAGTTAAATGTAATATATATATTAAAAGGTAAAGGTAAATGAATTATATATAAAGTTTTGTCTTCATATACATAAAAAATATATATGGAATCGTGTATACAAAAAGGTAAATGAATTATATATGTAGACAAATTTATGCAGGGAATCGTGTATATATGTAGACAAATTTATGCATGGAATCTATGCCATTTGTCTTCATATATATGTAATTTATGCTGGGAATCTATGCCACTTTGTCTTTATATGTATGGAATTTATGCATGAATCTATGCCACTTTGTCTTCAAATCAAAGAATCAGTTGATATAGATAAGACATTAACTCCAGGCAGTAGCAAAGCACCACGTCTTCAAATCAAAGAATCACTTCAATGTCGTCTTCGTCATCTTCAGCGGACGATGTTCTTGATAATGTAGTGCAGCCGGTCGTTTCCATACGTAATATGCTACAACAACATCTTAACAACATTGGATCAAGCAACGATCAACATAAACGAAGAAGATATATTCAAAGACAGCGTGAAGCGGCCCACCAATGTCTCATGCAAGATTACTTTGACTAGAATGCTCTCTTTGAAGGATATTATTTCCGCAGACGGTTCCGGATGCATAAAGATTTGTTTATGCGTATTGTAGAAGGTGTGACTTCAGTGTCTGAGTATATGCAACAATGCGCAGACGCAAGAGGTACATTAGGCTTTGATCTAATTAAAAAATGTACTGCTGTATTTCGTATGTTAGCATATGGCACCACCCTGATGCACTAGACGAGAGTTTTAGAATGTCTGCACGTACTGCCCGAGATAGTCTTCATGAATTTTGCATAGTTGTCATGTCTTTGTATGGTCCACGATATTTGCGTCGGCCTACTGCTTGTGACATACAACAATTGTATGCTCATCATGGAAATGTCCATGGTTTGCCTGGGATGTTAGGAAGTTTAGATTGCATGCACCGGAGATGGAATGCGTGTCCTAACGCATATCAAGGACAATACACAAAGGGCAATTATCATTATCCCACGGTCGTACTTGAAGCTGTAGCGTCACAAGATTTGTGGATCCGGCATGCCTTTTTCGGTAGTGCCGGTTCGCTTAATGACGTTAATATTCTCAATAATTCACCAATATTCAACAAAGTGTATGATGGTACTGCCCCAGATTCGTCATTTGTACTGCGAGGAACATAATACAAATTTGGGTACTATCTTGTGGATGGGATCTATCCTGACCTTTCTGTTTTCGTTAAAAGTTTGTCATGTCCGGATGACCCTCAGAGAGCCAAATTTAAGAGAGTTCAAGCAAAAGCAAGAAAAGATATTGAACGAGCGTTTGGAGCACTTAAAAAGCGTTGGCAGATAGTTGCAAAACCATCCATGTTTTGTGATATTTCTAATATGACAGAGGTGATGTATACATGTATCATATTGCATAATATGATATTAGAACATGAAGGAAACGCGATATGTGAGTACGTAGAGAATGAAGTCATCGCGGAGACACAACCACTAGAATATGGTGGTCAAGAATGGATGTAAAGATTGAGGATAATTCAGAGTGCAGTAATCCATACCGATCTTCGCCGCCATTTGACCGATCATCTTTGGACGATGGACAATCTTGATCTAAATATGCCAGCAGAAGACGAATTGGAAGACCAATAATTGGAGGAAGACCCGTTGCTGTAGTGTGTGGTTTTTTTTATGAAGTGAGTTTTAATAATGAAGTGTGTTTTTTTTATGTATTAAATCATGTTTTAATAATGAAGTGTGTTTTTTTGTGTACTAAATAAAAATTATTTGTTTATTAAAATAAAGTAATTAAATTAAATTACATAAAATAAATAGAAAAAATATATTTATTAAAATATAGTAATTAAATTAAATTAAAAAAAAGAAAATACAAAAAATTGAGTGCTAAGAGTGTTACCACTCCTTACAAAATGTTAAGTGTAAGTGTTAAACAAAGAAAAATGATGTGGCATTAAAAATACTTATGTGGCAAGGTGTCAAGAGTGTCACCACTACTTTTAGTCTTGTTCAATTGAGAAATTCATATATATATATATATATATATATATATATATATATATATATATATATATATATATATATATATATATATATATATATATATATATATGTATTAAAGAAGAGCCCCAATTTGAATAGTAAAGTGTTGTACTTTTTGGCAAGACTGATCCCTTATGTGTTTATTTTGGGTTTTGGGTATTTGTTGTTGTTTGTCTAAAACTTCATCCCACGTGTCTTCCTTCTGTTATCCTTATCTCAATCCTAGATAGCTGTGTTTTGACTGGTCTGTTTAGTTTGTATTTCGCCGTATCTATCTTCTCCGTTTTCTTTGTTCTCTTCGTTTCTGTTCTTGCAGGTACGTCTTTCTCTTCTTTCTTCGGTTGTTGTTTTTTATTTTTTGCTGCATATATGGTTTTTTCCGTTCTGCGTTGGTCATGGATGGTCTGCGGAAGCGAGCCTGTGGTGATGTTGGGCCCTCATCTGTTGCTAGCGATTGTAGTCCTCTCACTTCCGCTGTGGTGCTTTGGAGTTGCGGTGGGTAATTAACTATATACTTCTCGCTTCTTCTTCGCCACCGATAGACTGACCCGTTTTCTACTTGCTACAGGTGATGGTGAGGCCGACGGTGATGATTCACTTTGAATCGGTGTCGATTTTCCATCTTGCCTTCATATTCAGTTTCTTGATTTTGTGTTTTCCCCGGTAAAGCCACCGCCGAAGGTTCCGATTCACACATTTTTTCTTCTTGGGACGGTGATGATTCACTTTGAATCGGTGTCGATTTTCCATCTTGCCTTCATATTCAGTTTCTTGATTTTGTGTTTTCCCCGGTAAAGCCACCGCCGAAGGTTCCGATTCACGCATTTGTTCTTCTTGGATTCCACCGCCACTAACCTTTCTCGCTTTTCAGTTACCACCATGCGTCACTTCCTTTTAGTTGATGCAGGACACATTTACAGGAAGTGTTTTGGGGAGACAATAAAACGGAGGACACCAGCTACTCCAACGGTCTTCCATGGAAGCATCCCCAAACCTGATCACACTTCCAGGAATTAGAAAAGGATCGAAAAAACGTGTTCAATGAATGCTACAGCCAGTAGATGTTGGTGATGCAGTAATGGATTTTGCAATTATGCTTTCTTATGTTCTGTATTTGTGTTTCAGGTTAAATTTGGAATTCACCCCGATTTGAGCACTGTTTCTCACCAGTGGAGAAGAACCTGTCGACAAACCTCCGACTTTGATGGCTGTAAGTTTCCATGTTACTTTCATTTCATTGTGGATTTTACTTCTGATTACATGTTAATTTCGTTTCTATGTGTGCCTTCGTATCTATGCCCACCACCTGTTTGAAGAAATGTCTAAACCAAATAACAAAAAAAACATTTTTTAATTTTTTGTCTGTTTATAACGTTGCTGAAATTAAAAATAGTTACAGTCAATTTGTCGGTTCCGGTGGAGGTAGCTGTCGGTCTTTTGCTTAATCTTCTTCATCTGGGATCTATCAGGTTACAACTTGGAATTTTTTTAGATTCATTTCTGCTTGGTTCATCTGTTTTTGTTTTGTCACTTCATTTGTGCAGGGCTTTAGTGTACGAGGGTTTTCTTATGTGATCAGATGATTTCCCTTGTGAGTGACACTTGATCTGTTTTCTACATTCTTATGCAACTTTGATGTGGACATCAACATAGGTCGGATTGAAACTAATAAAGCATAAAAAACATGTACAGGTTGTTACTAATTATTTGTTTTTTTTTTATTGAGTTGTTATATGAAAGGCTATTGATTTTTCGAATTGTTATTACTCATTACAAGAAGAGATGAGGGAGTAATTGAACTGAATTTGCGTTTTTGGGGGTTGTTATGTGACAGACCAAAACTGAGTTGAAGAACTCTACAACAACTTTAGGTGCTTACTGTAATAGTTCCATTGTAATTTTACTAAAATATTTACTTATTTTGTTGTTTTGTGTTGGATTTTGCTAGGATCTGTTTACTTTCATAGACCGGAATAAATTAATGATGGAGGAATGGAATGATTCTTACTCATTACATTCCATGATATATGGTAAGTTTTCTTGCTTATAGCATCTTACACGCTGAATCACAAAATTTTCTTCGACATAAAGTCATAGTTATGTTCTTCAATTTTAATATATGTTTGAGGGAAGGTATGTTATTGTTGTAAGTGGTTTGGCTTTGAATTTTACTGGGACTTTCAATTCGACCGTGGTCAGCCATCTGTTGACCAGTCAAAATGGGTCTTGGATCAACCGGAAGATTGTGAATTGGCTGGTCAACGGTTTGACCATGGGTGTGCATTTTGCACAAAAAACTTTGATCAGGTTGGTACCCAATTAAGTGACGGCCACTTTTCCTTATTTTTTTTTTTATAAAATATATTACAAAAATCATAATATTGCAGTAATAATATTAGTTATTTTTACTTGGGGTTGTGTAAAAGAACCGAAACTGAATCAAAAACAGTAACTAAAAAAATAATTGTTTTTTTTTTTAATAAAAATCAAATTTTGGGGTTCCACTAGAGAAACTAAGTAATAAAATCGTTTCATGCTAATTGTTATATCACTCGGTGGATTTATAGGGTTGTAGTAATAGTTTTTTGTCTTGAAATTGTTGTCACGTACCAGAAGCATCAGATTAACACTTTCTTCATGTAGATAATGATAGCACTTGAACAATCATCTCTTATGCTGACTATTACATGGTAAATCAAATCACTGCTTTCATAATATTCCTTCATGTAATACTTCAACATTATTAATCTGCTTTTTCATACAGTTCGCTGCCATTCTTGCCTTTGAGATCATGAAAGGACCAAATATCCCTCCACCTTTGTGCAACAATGATTCAACTGCTGATTTCCAGGTAAATTTGGTAGGTACCGATGAGACCACGATGGAGGTATTTAATATCGAAACTTAACTCTTTAGCATCAATGCTCATCACAAATTTATTTGACAATTTTGGAAAGAACATTCGTGATTACATGTTACTTATTAAATCACATTGCAAATTGTTAGTTATTTAACAATTTTAAAAGTTTTGAAAGACATAATAAGCATAACTTACCACTATCCGTTACAAGCATGAGTTTTGACTGATTAGTGTAAATTTGTAACACATGACAAACATAGCCAATAAAAGTGGGGATTGTAAGCATGGCATTTTGTATAGCTGATAAGCTCTAACCGTTGAACTGTTTAGCAACTTCGTATGAGTTCAATTGTTAGTCCATCTAAACAAGTTCATTAAAAACAATAGTTTTTTAGAATTTAGAATAGATAACTGTTTTTGATGATAAACAGATGCTTTTGAATCATGATTCTGATATCTACGTATACAACTACTTTCTACTTCCTTCAACTTGTGTAGTTGTGTTTATTATTACTCCTTACACATTTCCATGTACTCTATTTTGGTATCGTAACAATTTTCTATTATTTTAGTATCAAAATAAAATTTGGTTAACGAAATTAATAAAAAAAAAATGCACAAACGATAAAAAATCATAGTTAAGAAAACTAAAATGTGTTGTGTGTGTTTACATGGAGTTGAATAAAGTTGTTGATTTGTTTTTACAAGTTGCATTTTACCAAGGGTAACACGTGTAGTTGATTTTTTTTGTTTGTTTACCTTTCAGGGTTAAGACACTTACAACTTTGCACCAGACTCCCCATAATTGCATAATCAGGTTTGTGACATCTGCTGATTATATTTCCAACAACTCTTTTTGGTGAAGTTCCCAACATCTTCTTCCATGGACACGTGCAATAGGTGGCCCCGGTATCCAAGTGAGATTTTAATACTCTTTCACCTCCGTCGCATGTCGCCTACACCACCAAAGCTACGTCTGTTTGTTTTTTATGCGGTCGTGTCTCCGATGCCGGTGATAGCGGTGTTTGGGAATCGGGGATTTTTTTCCTGACAAAATCTTTATCTACTCAAATCAGGTAGTTTCAGATCAATCGGTTTTAGATCAGCCTCATCGGGTGTATTAACAAAGTTTTGGAATCGATTGCTACAGATTGGAGGACATCGACAGGAAACCACACCTACATTTGCCTTCTCCGTTGAATTCTGCTTTGCCGGCTCAATTGGTTTGCTAGATTCAAAGACCAGTACGTTCCTATCACTCTTCTAATCTTTGTAAACACTCTATTCCCTTCGTATGGTAATTATCTGTAACATATATATTTTATATGTTACATACTGTTTTTATAGTTACAGAACTATTTACCAAAATGTATCTGAAAACTACCCCTAGATACTATTTTTATAGTTACAAATTTTTGATTCTAACATTTTTGGACCAAACTGCCCCTGCATACCGTTTCTATAGTTAAAAATTTTGATTTTAAGATTTTTGGACCAAACTGCCCTTGCATATTGTTTTTAAACTTAAAAAAATTGTTTTTAACAGTTTTAGACCAAACTGCCCCTGCATACTAATTTATAGGTAGTTTTTTTTTTTTATTTTAACAGTTTTGGACGAAAAAGCCCTTGCATAATGTTTTTATACTTAAAAAAATTTGAATTTAACAATTTTGGCTGACACATCTCTTGCATACCGTTTTTATAGTTAGTCTTTTTTTTTTGATTTTAACGGTTTTGAACTCAGATTGTTGCTGAATATATTTAAGTACTAAATTGAGTAAATAGCAATATACTTTGCATTTTGTTTTTATTCCTTTGCCAACATTGGATAATAATATGCTGAAATCGTCTCTGAATTATTGAATTATACAGGTGATAGAGTCTTTCTAAATCAAATTTGAAAGTACATTCTATGTTCTGTGGACGTAATGAGATTTTTATTATGCTAAAAAAGTTTGCTCCTAATTAATTCCTTTTTATTGTAGGTATTACAAAACTAATAAGAATCATATCACAGTAAAGTGGATACTTGGATTTGCATATTGTGGAAACATGTACTAGGTATAAAATGAATGATTGCTAGAAACATGTACCAGGTATAAGATTATGTGTTTAAGTGAATTACATAAAATTAGTATTTAGTTGTCATTCTTTACAATTAAGTTGGTAAAATGCATTTTAAAAACTTTAGTTGGATCATTTAAAATGTTTGAAACTTATGAGAAATTTGATTTACTTGATTACCTCATACCTCTCCATAGTGATATCAAATACCACTATGTCTGATAAAGGAGAATATTTAGAATTTTATAAAAAACAAAGGAAAAGAACTCTAATATAGTGTAAAATCTAATCCAACTTTTTTTTTTTGGGCTAAAATTGACTGATTTTATCAGCAAAAAAAATACGTATAGTTTTTGTTATCGTTAACAGTTTCGTGACTAAACTACCCCTATGTAAAGTTATTTTGTTCATATTTCAATTTTGCTGGAAGACCTGTCGCATCCGACCCCGCAACGTGGGTTCCCCAACTAGTTGAAAGAAAACCAGAATTTTCCTTGAAAACTATGTGAGCTTAAACAACCACCGGACATTTCTCGGAACCACCAACCAGAGTTCCACCATTACCTTTTGAAGAAATCCCAATTCGTAAATTATGGCAATAAACCCTGAAGGTCGTCCTTCCAACCCCCCAAACACTAGGCTTAACCCTAACTATCATCAGCACATTAAAACTTTATCATCTTCTCACCATTGATGATGCTATCTCGATCTCGATCATCGACATGCCCTGTCAAAGAAGCAAAGGTTGCCCTAATCGCTGTCTCATTATTGGTTCCCTGCATGAAAGGCAACAGAATAGCCACTGAAATTAAATCTGATTTGTAAAAGAGATCAGCTTCGATTTGATCATAGTAAAGAGTATTTCTCAGACTAGGGTTCCGAACAACGAAATTGGCGTCCAACTCGCCGTAAATCAGTGAGTTCGACGAAATACTGAAATTGGATAGGGTTAATGTTTCTACACGAAACAGAGGATGACGTGAGTTGAGGTCGAGCCACAACATCCAGGAAAAAAAGATAAAGATGACGATGCTGATGATAAAGCCGACGAGAATGATGATGAAACAGTGTAGGGTGGCGCGTAGTCTTGACGCGTTTGGATTAGAGTGGAATGTGGGTTGATTCTGTGGAGCATTCGGAGGCCGGAAAACATAAGGGTGTACAGTCGCGCCGGAGTGACCTCGGTTGCCGGTGATGGGTCTGGATTGATCGGCCATTGAAGAGGTAACTTGAAATTATGTGCAAAATTGTTGATATTGAAAATTTGTTATTACATTTGTAATCTGCATCTTGAAGCCTAAACCCAGTAAACATCTGCAAGAGTTTCGATAAATAGTGAAGCAATTGAAAGTTGAAAATTTGTCTATATTTCTATTTATGGATATGTTATTGTCATCTCTCTTCTGTTTTTCACGTGTCAAGTTTAATGTTAAAACAAAAGTTTATTCTTTTTCGAAATACTGATATGATCCAACGGAGTATTCTTGTCAATGATACCGAACTCCTGTTTTCATAGTATTGACTTTATAGTTAGGATGACAAATTCTCCAAGATATGTTATTTAGTTTTTTCACAAGATCAAAATGGTTGCATAGCAGATGACAAGTCTTTACAATAGTTTTTTCACAAAATTTTCGATTTTGTGAGGATCAATCAAATAAGGTTTTCGGTAGTAAAAATTCTATAAAAGCAATGATAAATAGATATTAACATAGCAAGAAAAAAAAAAGAAAAAAAAAACATAGTATAGAAAGATATCAAAAATTATATAGAAATCACTATCCTACTCTTATTTTTTATTTTCTTAATTTAATTAAATTTGGTTTGATTAGCTCAAAGTTCAACAACAATTGTTGTAGGCTGATCAACTTTTTCCAGAAAATAGAGAATAACAGAAAAGTTCAAATAAGTTTGATTTTTGATCAGATCATAAAACCCACTTTTCAAAGATCTGTTTCTTCTCTTCATCGAACATCAATTTTAGATAGACAACTCATCGAGATAGATGTAGATGAACTATTTACATTACAACCTAATAAAAACAACCAAATAAAAAAGAAGAAGAAGGGTTGTAGTGGAAAGGAACAAATGACCTTGAGCCAAGAACACCTTCGTTCCTATATAATAGAAAATGGTGGATGTAAGAACAAAAATCCACATAGGATCGTTTCCTTCACGTTGCATATTGCTTTCTTCCATTTTAAACAAAGTTTCACTATAATATTCCTCTAATTTGGAATCCATATGAAATTGATTCATGAATAGTCATTGGTTCAGTTGTTACACAGATAAAAGATATATATATTTTTTAAAGAAATCGTCTTAGCAAGATCCAAGCTTTCACTGGCAGCTGTTCAGTTAGTTTGATGAATATAACCTAAACTGTTTTTATACACAATATCAAGTCTATAATAATATTGGATGTCCACCTTTGGTTTCACTATGTACTCACATTAATAACATTAAAAACATACAAAAAAAAAAGTGGGTTTGGATTTCTAATCCAATAGAGCTCAAGGTAAAGTTGTGGAATTTTCAAATTAAAGTATCACGAACCAACTCCATTCAGACCTTTTTTCAAAAGCTCTAACGCCTTATTCCCGAGTTCCACTTAAGGAGAGAAATGGGAGGATACGGAGGGAAAGTGAGGGGTGTCGAAGGAAAATCGTGTTCCCGAGTTTCATTAATGGAAGGAAAGTGAGGGGAGGGGAAGGATTTTCAAGTCATATTTTCTTTCCAAAATTTCCTCCCAAATTGGGCGGATTTGGGAAGAAAGTGAGGGGAAGGAAAATTTTAAGTTTTATTTTCTTTTTCCTCCTAACCCGGGAACACAAAAACTAAAAATTTTCTTTTTCTTTCCTTTCATTTCCTTCGAACTCGGGAACACAGAGTAATGAACGTTTTCCTTCACCTCCCTTTCTTTCTGTCAAAATTTTCCTTCCCTTTCCTTTAATGAATTTATATAAAAACTCGGGAACAAGGCGTAAATTCAACTATCTATATGAATTAGACATGGATTTGCTTGAGGCACCTTTCACCCCTAATGAAATTCGTTCCGCTGTTTGGCCCTAATGGGTACAATTTCAAGTTCATAAAAAAAATTGGGACGTTGTCGTCCTTGACGTGACTGATGTTGTCCAATTCTTTGGTGTTCACAAAGTTATCAACCCTAGAAGCAACAACTCTTTCATCACCTTAGTTCCTAAAACCTCATACCCACTGATCTCTCATAATATAGACCCATTAATTTAATTGGTTGCATCACAAAGATCATTTCAAAAACCCTTACGGTAAGATTGAAGGTGGTAATAGGGAAGGTCATCAGCATGGAGCAAACTGAGTTCATAAGTGGAAGGAACGTTATGGACGGACCTCTTATTTTAAACGAAGCTATATCTTGGGCGAAAAGGGCTAAAAGGAAGATGTTGATGCTCAAAGTTGATTTCAACAATACCTTCGACTCTCTAAATCGGAGTTACCTTGATGATATAATGTGTTAGATGGGATTCGAAAGCATTTGGAGAGCTTGGATCCATGCTATTTTTTTGACAGCAATGGTGTCGATACTTGTGAATGGGGACCCCTATCCCCCTTTCTTTTCTTAATTGCTACTGAAGGCCTTAGAGTTGCCATGGAGGAGGCGCTTGATAAAAGAGTTTTCAAAGGATTCAAACTCCCTAACGAGGGCCCGAACCTCTCCTTATTTCAATATGTTGGAACATGCTTTGCACAGGATTAAACAGACACCAATACTTACAGTAAAAGTAACAACATATGATCCAAGGTGGGTTAATTTTTTTGTTTTACGCATTCATAGAAACATAAAATACATGCGTGCCACTACAAATAGAAGATAAACTCTACTCTATTTATATTATTAATCATGCTAACAAAATGGAAAACTAATAACTGTAAAACACAAAGATAGGACTACTCAGTTCACCCACCAAACCAGGTCGTTCATTAGACTAAGTCCTAATTATTCAACTTGTGCATAAAGAAACTGGAGTAACCCATTCAAATCCATACATGTGATCCAACTTAACCCATCAAGATTACCGAACATTCACCCCCGTAATCTTTATCATTCCTGACCCTTTTCTTCATCATAGAAAAAAACAGTTCTTCCTCTTGTCATAGTTCCTGCATTTTCTTCTTGCTTCTTGCTAGAATCGTTCTTACTTCTTGCTACAGTCGTTCTTGTTTGCTACTTGCTACAAACCTGAAACTTTATACTTGCTATTGTCTGCTACTTGCTATAGACTTCTGGTTTTCTACTTGCTACAAACCTCTTGCTTGATATCTTCCTTTTCCTGTGACTTGCTACTTGCTTCTCTTTTCTTGCTACTTCTTTCTTTTCTTCTTTCTTCTTGCTACTTTCTTTCATGCTTACTGATTCTTGCTAACATTCAACAAACATGTTGCTTCTTTCTTACTTTCCTTCTTTATTCTTTCTTCTTTCTGTCACTACAAGAAAAGTTCTTATTAATGACCAATTTTTAGTGACAACCTAAAATTTAGTCACTAACAACATCATTTAGTCACCAAAAATTTAGTTGTCACTGAATTTTAGTAATCCTACAAATTTAATAACCAATTATATATGGTGGTCACTAAATCGGTCACTAAACCATGAATAAAATTAAATATTTTTATTTCATATCAAAATAACTATTAGTGACTAAAAAAATGGTCATTGTGTTAGAGTCTTAGTGACCAAAAATAGTGGTCACTGTATTGAAAGTTGAGTGACCAAAAATAATGGTCACTAACTACTCTTTATTATTCTAAACCTAAGCAGCTAAACGGTGACGACTCAGTGGTAATTGATTTACAAATTGAAAAACAATTAATGACTATCCCTTGTTGTTATAAATTAATATTTTTTTTTTTTATTTTTGAAAATGACTAGAGCTTTATTTTCTTTACGAACATAATTTTCTAAAGACGCATTTTATTTGACAAGTCCTTATCTAAGTCCATGTACACTCATCCACAGCTAACCAAAACCTTCTTCTCAAACATATTTACTATACTACCCTTCTCAATATAGACGGCCTTTCTTGGGCCCTTTTATATTTTACTGACTTGGACAAAAAGTTCGAGATGTCCTAAAATTATTCTTGGGCCTCTCTCGTCAACACATCTCTCCTATTTGCCCTAAATCGACATACCAACAATCGGCGGTTTGGCACCGGCGTTGCCGGTCAATCGTTGCCGATCCATCGTCCCCGGTCCGTCGACTCCGGTCAATCGTCGCCGGTCCACACCCTCCCATGGACGCACCTCGGTTCTCCGCTAGAAGTCAAACATGTACTCTTTTCTCTGCTCCGACCGTGGATGTAGCTACATCTTCTGCTCTCATGTGGCATACATCACTATCCTGCTCATCAATTGTTCAATTGCTAATCGATCGGATCATGATTCCCTTCTACCAAATAGTAGCTAAAATCATAGCAACTAGAAACATGACTTTCTCAACAAACAGAAAAGCTTGATTAAATTAGCACATAGTTTACAATCAGCTGCTTTTTTGTTTATTATGCCATTCTACCAAACTGTTGAATTCGTACAATGCTCTGAGGTTATCTCCATACTTCTCTTTCATCAGTCACAACGGAAATCCAAGTGAAACCACAAGTATTCTAATCTTGTTGTTATTCACACTCCATGGTATGTTTCATATAAAAACCCTCCAGACTTCATTTTAGGTTTTTGATTGTTGAAATGCACAATAAATCAATAATGCAGTAGAAATGTACTTGTTATCTTCCAACTTCTTTTCATTTCAGTAGTTACCTAACTGTGATTGCTGATTACTGTAGGTTTATCTGTGGCATACTTGTCTGGTAGGCGATCACCAAGTGGTCTAATTTATGGAACTTACACTCAAGATGATATCGATGCTCTGAGGGCATTAGCTGAAGAACCTGGAATCATAGACATATTCCTCACATATCCTTCTTACCTCTTTCACTCCATTCTATTTCTTATAGTTACATGGGTGATGATTTTATATCATAAGGTTTCATTTCCTTAACTGCTATTCACTAATGAATGGCCCGATGGAATCTTGAATAGAGCTTCAACATCCAATATTCCTCCGGGAATATCAGATTCCAGAGGTAGTGATGCTGCAATATCAGAGCTAGTTGCAGAAATCAAGCCCCGGTAAGTTTAAAATTCAAATGTTACAAGTTTATTTATGGTTGATCTTAATTAAAGTTGCTCTTATGGTCTATGTGTCCATGGTAGGTACCATGTTGCAGGATCTAAGGGTGTATTAGTGTATATTATGCCAGAGAACCATATATGAATGATGATGCTGCACATGCAACCCGTTTTATTGGATTAGCCCCAGTAGGAGATGCATCTAAGCAGGTTGGTTTTACATTTTTAGTCAACTATTTAACTATTTCACATTATTTGTTATCTGTTAATCCTTATTTTTTTTTGCTATGAGTAAATTTCTCTTAGAAATTTATTCATGCAATTTCTCCAACTCCAGCATCTACCATGTCTTCTACTGAGAGATATCTACCTAACCACCAAACACCACCTTATCTCCATATACACAAGCAGAACCAGAAAAAAAATCTGCTGAAAGTCTTTCTGATTCACAGTATTGGCAATATGATGTCTCAAAAAGACAAAAACTTGGAAGTGGTGAGAGTGATAAGTCGTGTTTCAAATTCATTTTTTCTGGTTCTTGTCCACGTGGCGACATGTGTAACTTTCGCCATGATATGGAAGCAAGGGAACAATCCATGAGAGGTGTATGTTTTGAGTTTTTGAATAAATGAAAATGTGAAAGAGGTGAAGATTGCAGCTATAAACATAGTTTGCAGGAGAAAGTCGAAGGGAGAACAAATTCAAGATCAAAGGAATGTTGGTTTTGTTTATCGAGTCCAAATGTGGAATCACATTTGATTACCAGTGTTGGTGAAAATTGCTACTGTGCTCTTGCTAAAGGGCCATTGGTTCAAGATCATGTACTTATATTACCAATTGAACATCTACCAAATACTCTCACTTCACCTCCAGAATGTGAGATAGAGTTGGTTAAATTCCAGAAGATTCTTAAAGATTATTTCAAGAGCCATGGAAAAGAAGTTGTTTTCTTTGAGTGGGTTTATGTAAGAGCAACTCATGCTAATCTACAGGCGATTCCAGTTCCTTTATCAAGAGCATCTGTTGTTCAGGATATCTTCAATTTAGCAGCTGAAAAGTTGGGATTCAAGTTTATGGTGCTAAAAAGTAAGTGACTGTTTCTTTTTTACTTAATGAGCTTAATGTTTTAAGTACTTTTTTTTTATCTAGACGGAATGACTTAATGGGTTAAGCCAAAAAAAACCTGACTTAATGTAAGGGTAAAATGGTCATTAGGTTGAATCTTGATCTTGTTTTTTTATTGTTATTGTAGGTGACAAGAAAAAGTATGGAGAAGTGAGTCAACAACCGACTACAAGTGAAACCACAAGTACATGTACAACACTCTATTCAGTCATTCTGTTGCTGAAGGAGCTGAGGGGTTAAAGATAAGCTTCAGGGAAGAAGTTGATGTCGAACAAGAATGAAAGAATAAAGATGCAATAGTGGTGATGTAAGTAGCTTTGAGCAAGTTGTACATTTATTTATTTATTTGTTTTTTTCCCACTTTTTTTGACTTATCTTGAGTTAATCATAATATTTTTTTATCTTCTTTCTTCATACCCTGATGATATATTCACTAATTCATTTATGTATCTGTTCTTTTAGCATCTTCAGAGTTGCAACAGTCGAAAGAAGATTGTATCTAGTAAAAAGGTATCCTTTTATTTGTGTGATCAAAAGATAATAATAAGTATGTATTGATTTGATCTTTAGTTTGCTTTCATTTTTTTTTAACCTCAATGATGACTACATATTTCTATCTATAATCTTATACTTAAAGTTAATCAGTAGCTTGTTACATACAAATGCAGTTCTGATTGTGCCTTGAAGATCTTGTTCCTATAGTTCTTGGGAGGTACATTAAGGCACTAATATCCGAAAGCATCTTATTTGGGTAAGCTATCTCTAAATTAACTCTAAAATTTACAGTTTTGACCCCCTCTGTTATATCACTTTTTTTAATATGGTTCAAAAAAGAGTCCTTGCATTTTTCATTCCTATTTACTGTTTCTTAACGTTTTTTGGCTATGAATTGTCCATGTAAACAGCCATTTCGTTAATTTTATGAAAATGACCATTTTGACCTCATATTTATATTTTAGTAAAAAATTATTCTGCCAGCCCCTTCCAATTTCTGAATATTCTGGTGTTCGGATGTAGTAGGTTGGTGGATAACAATTTATTAATTATTAGTTCTGATATCATTAGATTATGGATTCGTAATTAGGTTTGATTTCATAAAAATTTCAGTTTTTATGAAGAAGATAAGGATAAAATGGTAATTTTATTCTGGATTTAACGAAATGACTTGTAACTTTTACGAGGCGAAAAATGTTCAGTAGTAAAATAGGGACGGAAAATTCAGCAAGATTCATCTCTGCTCTAAATTGTGTATCCAAAAAAAAAAGTGATACAACGCAGGAGATTGCAGGATTTCCTTTTCAGTTTGTGCCCTCAAGAGCTTATTCGTGCTTGCGAGGGCAGTTTTGTCCATCACTTTCATGGTAGAGTAGTTTTGTGTCCCGATCAACTCAGAAAGATAAAACAATTAGTGACTATCAGTTGTGATTAATACATTCTTATGCTCCTATGCAGGTAGGTTGTAACTTTATCGAGTACACTCGGAAAACTCGTTCCTCGTCATCTGGAAGAAAATTCAATCAAATTTACTTTTAATCTGCATTGATCTTTATATGTATGGATTTTGTTTTTTAAAATGACATTTAATATTTCATATTATAAATGTGAAGATTTATTTGGTTATTGTTGTATTGCAAAGATTTATAGCATTTGCGTTTTCTTTTCTCTAATTGTATTTCATATTAAAATCGACATTTAATATTTCAATAATTCCTTAATTATTGACCTCTTTTTTTGTCTAATTGGATAAATCAGTGACGACATGTTATAGTCACTAATCGGATAAGACAGTGACGACTTTCTATGGTCATTAATCGGATAAGACAGTGACGACTTTTATTGGTCACTGAGTAGATATAATAGTGACGACTTTCATTGACTAGTGACGAAGCTGGTCGTCACAGATATTTAGTGACCATATTTTATTTTTGTCACTAAATCGGTTTTGTGATGGACCTATAGTGACGAAAAGTGACAACCGGAATTTTGGTCACTAAATCATTTAGTGACGACTTGTTCTATTGTTAATGACCATTTCGTTTTGGTCACTAATTGGCATTTTTTTTGTAGTGTGTCTTTCTATCTTTCTTCTTTCTTCTTTCTAATTTGCTGCCGTGCAGTCGGTCTTCATGCTTGCTACTTGCTTTCTTCCTTTCCACTTGATTACATAGGGTTGTAATCAATCGTTTCTTTCTTGCTATTAAACCAGGTATGAACCTGGAGGCTCTTGCTCACGAGCCACAACTTCTTTTGATCTCCCTACCATAATTAACTTCTTTTGATCTCCCTACCATAATTCTTCTCCTGCGACATTCTTTCCACTGACCATTCTTCCTAAAATCTCGTTCGGGTCTTGATGCCATCCTTCCAATCTTGCTGTTTCTTGCTTCGATTTTTGCTTTCTCTCTCTTGCTTATTTTCTTTCTTTCTTGATCAAACGTGTTTGCTTGCTGCATGCTTCTTTCTATTAATCACGACTGGATTAGACTTTCTACTTGCTTTCTACTGGTCACGAACTTCCTGCTTTCTGTTAATCAGATTATGATTAACCCTTCTTCGACTAGCCCATGCTGTGAGCGTAAGGCTTTGATACCAATTGTTGGAACATGCTTTGCATAGGATCAAACACACACTAATACTTACAATAATAGTAACAACATAAGATCCAAGGTGGGGTCAATTTTCTGTGTATTACTCATTCATAGAAACAGAAAATACATGTGTACCACTACAAATAAAAGATAAACTCTACTCTATTTATACTATTAATCATGCTAACAAAAAGGAAAACTAACAACTAAAAAACACAAAGATAGGACTACTCAGTCCACCCACCAAACTAGGTCTTTCATTAGACTAAGTCCTGATTATTCAACTTGTGCATAAAGAAACTGGAGTGACCCATTCAAATCCGTACCTTTGACCAACTTAACCCATCAAGATTACCCAACAGAATATGCGCACGATGACATCTTTCTCGAGGAATGGTCCTCTATCAATGCTAAGAATCTCCTGTGTATTTTATCTTGTTTTCATGTGGTTTCAGGTCTCAAGATCAACCTACAAAAATGTAAAATATATGGTGTTGGGGTTAACTCGCAGGAGTTCGATAATTTGGCTCAACTGATGTTTTGTGAAGGTGGGTCTCTTCCCCTCAAATACCTTGGGATGCCAGTTGGGGATAATATGTCTAGTATGTCTAGCTGGCTTCCGCTTACTGATCGTTTCCAAAGTAAGTTGTCTGCATGGAAAGCCCGTTCTCTCTCTTTTAGCGGACGATTAATCTCATGCAGATCGGTCCTCGGGACCCTTGGTTCCTACATTTTTTTCTCTTTATAAAGTCACATCCATGGTTTTATCGAAGTTGGAAAGTATTAGAAACAAGTTCTTCTGGGGCGGAGGATGAGGCGATAAGAAAATCTCTTGGGTCTCTTGGAAACAAGTCTTGAATGCTAAAAGGAATGGCGGTTTGGAAATCGGGAGCCTTAAGGCTTTCAATACACTTTGCTTTGTAAATGGTGGTGGAGATACAGAGCGGGCCCCAACTGTCTATGGACAAAAGTTATTACTGACTTATATGGTCCTAGATTTGGTCTAGGCATTCCCAAACCTGCTTAGAGAAAATCAACTACATGGGGGGAAGATTTGTTATATTAGTGTTGACCTTTTAAGCCATGATCTGGACTTAGACTCCCTCTTACAGCATGATGGTGCCTCTGGGAATCAAAATCAGAACCAAGGTAAATGGAATTAGAAAATGGATAATAAGGGTGTTTTCTCGGTTAGGTCCTTGCGGACGCCTGTTGACGAAAGGTTCTTACCTTCTAACCCTTTAGCTACAATTTGGGGCAAGGTCCTAGTAAAATTAACCTATTCACTTGGAGGCTTAGATTGGGTAGACTGCCTTCGAAGGTGAACCTTGCTAGAAGAGGGGTGGCAATCCAGAATTTATGTTGTTCTCTTTGCAACACCACTGTCGAAAATGATGCGCGTTTGTTTGTTTTGCGTTCTTCAGCCATAGAGTTGTTGGCAAAGCTGGGAATATGGTGGCCGGATCAACCAAACGTGTCCAATATAACCTCAATTGAATATCTAATTTTAGGCCCACTCATGCATAGTTGGTCCAACTTTGAAGTTACCAAATTTGAGGTGGTTATCAGGGCTTTCCTTTGGTGTCTTTGGTCTTACAGTCTGTTTCAATGACAAGGTTAAAAGCATCCTTATCCTTGCAGAGGAAGTCAAGTCTTTGTCTTTTTCATTAGATTAGATGTACAGGAAAAAGTTATAAGTTCCTAAAATGGGAGGATGTAGTTGTGGTTATTTATTTTATTTTATTATTTTATTTTTTTGTTTTCCTACCCTCTAGCTAGTTTGGTTTTTTTAGTATAAAAGTCTTTTTAAAAAAAAAAGACCAATGCGCCAAATGTGTTTAATTATTTTTCCACAAGAAGATTAAAATGGTTGCATAGCAGATAACAAGTCTCCATACTAATATTGAACATCCTCTATTGCCAATAAAAAAAACATTTTATAGGTTTTGCGTCCAACATGCAAACCATCCTCCAAAAATAAATCAACATATTATAGGTTTTGCATCCAATGACTTCAAAGTGTATAGCATAATAAAGCTGCTCAATTCTATGAAAAAAAAAACTGATCTTTATTACTTCTGATCAGATGTGACAAATTATTCCAAAGTAATATATTTGTTCGGCAAAACTTATAAAGTGAAATATAAGAGGCACGAGCCTTTCTTCTACTTATGTTAGTAATATTAATAATCGAGTACGGATCAATTTACATGAGAATTTGTGGTTTATTCAACGAAGAGCTTCATGCGTGTATATTTCATCTGTGAAGAAGCTTGCAACGTACAAAAGGATACAAAGGGGATAAACCTAGATAAAAAAGGGATTATTTACGAAAATAACCTCTAACTATAGCAAGTTAACATAATTTACGCAAAAAAAAAAGAAGCAAAATCAATGTCGACATCAACACCCCCCTCAAACTTATGTAGGAAGTGATGGTCCAACTTGAGTTTGGAAACCAAGAACTTAACACAACTAGGTAAATGTGTCTTAGTGAAGATGTCCCCTGGTTAATCGGCTGTAGAGATTAGGGGAAGATGAACAATTTTACGAACTACGTGTTGTTGAACAAAGTGACAATGAATTTAAATATGCTTTGTACATTCATGGAAAACATCATTGTGAGCAATCTGAATAGCACTATTGTTGTCACACCATTGTGATGTAGGCAGGGGCAACACCCATGTCAGCCAAAGGTCAATGTCACCAAACTAATTCTTGAGTTGTATCAACTAAGGCTCTATATTCATCTTTGGTATTAGAGCAGACTATAAGTGACTGTTTCTAACCCCTACATGTCATGAGAGAGTCACCAAGAAAGAAACAATAACATATAGTAGATCGTTTGCCAGTCAATTTACCATCCTAAAATGCATTTGAGAAGGCGTTAAGGACTAGAGATGATTTAGATGAAAAATGAAGCCCATGAAACATTGCACCCTTAAGGTATCGAAGGATCCCGAGGACAGTTGCATAAGGATCAGAGTGGGGAGCTGCGCCATAAACAGACTCATCATTTGAACTACATATACGAGATCAGGACGTGTAACCGTGAGATAAACCAATGAACTAACCAACTTCATGTAATTAGTATGATCATTAATAGGGGTGATACTCCCCAAAACCAAGTGCTATTTGACTCAAGTGGTGTAGAAGTCACTTTTACATTTGTAAGAGATGAGCGAGACAATAAGTCAGAAATATACTTTGCTTGGCATAAGTATATTTCAGAAGAATCATACATGACATCAAGGCCTAGAAAGTAGTGAAGGTTATCAAGATCCTTCATCTCAAAACAGGAACTGAGTGATTGTTTTAGTTGTAGAATACCGATACTATAACTGTCTGTAATAATCATGTCACCGATATATAGTAAGAGACGAATGGTACCAGTGTCAGTGGTACAAGGGAATACTCCTCAACCGTAAGGAATGGAAGAGAATCCCAAAGAAAAAAAAACATTTGAACCAAGCACATGCTACCTGTTTAAGATCATAAAGTGCTTTGCGAAGACGACGAACTTGACATGTCGAGTGATCAACACTGCTTTGGGGACGTATATAAACTTCCTTCCCTATATCACCACTACAGAATGCATTTTTTTTATGTCCATTTGATGTAGGGACCAATTACTAGCCATAGTAATAGCGAGTAAGATACGAACCAAAGTAATGCATGCAAGCGGAGCAAAAGTTTCCTCGTCATCAATCCCATATTGTTGTTTAAAACCTTTGGCAACAAGGCATGCTTTGTGTTTCTCAACTATACCATCAGATCGAGTTTTGACTTTGTATACCCATTTAGAACCTACTATAAACTTCCCATGTGGAAGTTGAACAATGTCCCAAGTCTGAGCCTTCTTTAAAGCTTGAAGTTCTTCTTGCATGGCATTCTGCCATAATGAATTAGAAACTGCTTCATTATAGGAGGAAGGTTTATGGTGCAATAAGAGGGTAGCATAACACTAAAACTCACGAAGATGAGAGGAAATGTGTCTTAACCTTGCAAAACGTCATGTTTCTAATGATGGATTGTTAAGCGAATCTGG